CCAATTATTTGTTGTATCTATTCCTAACAGTGTGCAGAAAGCCTTGAAAGATCCCAGATGGAGGGAGGCAATGAATGAAGAAATGAAGGCCCTTCAAAATAACTCAACGTGGGAAGTTGTTGACTTGCCTGAAGGGAAGATACCTATTGGATGTAGGTGGGTCTTCTCCATTAAATACAAAGCCGACGGAACTATGGAATAGTGCAAAGCAAGACTAGTCGTCAAGGGATACACTCAAACATATGGAATTGATTATATGGAGACATTCGCACCAGTGGCCAAAATTAATACTGTTAGTATTCTATTATCTCTGGCGGTGAATCTTGATTGGCCTTTACACCAGTTTGATGTAAATAATGCATTTCTACATGGAAATCTCCAAGAAGAAGTGTATATGGAGTTGCCCCCTGGCTGTAATCTACAGATTGAAGGTAATAAACAAGTCTGTAGGTTGAGGAAATCCCTATATGGTTTGAAGCAGTCTTCTAGAGCATGGTTTGGAAGGTTCACAAGTTTTATGAAGTCTATTGGTTACAAGAAAAGTAATCAGATAACACTCTATTCTTGAAGCATAATGAAGAACAAATCACAGCTCTTATTGTGTACGTTGATGATATGATAGTAACTGGAAATGATCTTGAAGAAAGGAAAACACTACAGGAGCATCTTGCCCATGAGTTTGAGATGAAGGACCTCGGTGAACTGAAGTATTTCCTCGGAATTGAAGTGTCAAGATAAAAAAAAGGTATTTTTCTGTCACAAAGAAAATATGTCTTAGACTTACTAAATGAAATTGGTATGATAGCATGTGGTCCAACTAGCACTCCTATGGAAGAAAATCTAAAACTGTGTGCATTCAAATCAAGTTCCTGCTAACAAAGAACGCTATCAAAGACTAGTTGGAAGATTAATGTATCTTGCACATACTCGGCCTGATTTAGCTTATGAGCTGAGTGTGGTTAGTCAATTCATGCACTCCCCAAGCGAAGAACATATGAATGTTGTCATCCATATCTTACGCTACTTGAAGTCATCTCCAGGAAAGGCAATTTTATTCACAAAAAGAGACAATTTGAACATTAACAGCTATATAGATGCAAATTGGGCTGGGTCAATTCAAGATAGATGTTCTACGTCTGGCTATTTCACGTTTGTAGGAGGAAATTTGATTACTTGGCGAAGTGAAAAACAAGAGGTACCCGAATACAGAGGAATGACTAAGGCAATATGCAAACTATTGTGGATCAGAAATCTGATGCAAGATTTACATATTAATCAAGTCAGCCCTATGAAGTTATATTGTGACAACAAGGCAGCATGTGATATTGCCCATAATCTTGTCCAACATGATCGAACCAAACATGTTGAGGTTGATAGGCATTTTATCAAAGAGAAACTGGAAGAAAAATTGATTGAAACTCCTCATGTTTGATCTCAAGACCAGCTTGCTGATGTGCTAACCAAGGCAATGTCAAACCAAGCATTTAATGACTGTCTCGACAAACTAGGCATGAGCGACAACTACACACCAACTTGAGGGGGAGTGTTGACAATCAGGAGTAATTATCTCCAAGTTGGTTCTCCATTATTCTAGCCCCTAATTTGTCTCTACTACTAGCTGTATAGATAGACTAGAATTACTAGAATCCCTATAAATATGTAATTTTATCTTGATAGCTATAGTTTCCTTATAGTTAGTCAATTAGTCCTAAACTATAGGATCTAAAGCTTTGTACAATGACTATTTATGCCCATGCAGTAATAGTAAAAGATTATTGGAGTATTCTCCTCACAAACTCCATATTTTTGACTATGTTTCTAAGCAATCAAACAGAAAATGGTTTATGTTATATTTATACGTTGGTAGATGGTATCATATATTGATTTCTAGAAAAAAAAAAAGCAAAAAAGATTGATTTCTAGGTTCTTGATATGGTTGAAATGTTTGAAGAGATGATAATGCAGTTTCAAGTTCATATCTATGTATGGTGGTTTTTGATTTGTTCAATCTTGAATTTGTTTTTGAGTTGTTGTTGATCACCCTGAAAAGTGTATTTGCTATTCTTGCAGATTTATGTTATGGGGTTTATTTATTAAGTTGATCAATTATTTCCTATTTTATATTTTCGACTGTTTTGTATAGATGTATGACCATTTCTTGAATCCAGTTTTTTACATTTGATTTGGCCCTTTGTTTGATAAATCAGAACGTGGTGTTGTTTTATGTTGTTGGAATTCTTGCGGTGTGAAGATGTTTATGTTGATTACTATTATGATTATAATAGTTGGTGAATGGTTGTATTAGGATATGAATTTTCTCAATTGTTTCTTATAATATCGACCGTTCATGGCATGGACGATAATTTTTTGTTTTATTCATACTAATTATTTGGTTAAGCCGAGAAAACTAACCATGACACCACCACATGTGGCATGTCATCAGTTGGTTGAATACAATCACAACAATGCAAATATTTGTTGAAATTTTTGAAATAATCCGAGTATGCTGTATTATGTTAACAATATAGTGCATTATACAGGACGAGGAAGAGGGCAAGCGAACAACGACAAAAGGTAGAGCTTCAAAAGCACCAAAGGACTTTCTCTTCAAGCGCTTCAGTAAAAAACAGTTAGAAAAAATTTCAACCACCCCTTCTAATTTATCATATCTTTAAGGATACCACTTTTAACTTTTGAATCTTCAATAACACCCCTTCTAATTTAATTTAAACATTACTAACATCCCCTACCATTAAACTACCATTTCTAACAAAATCAATTCATCTAAAATACCAAAAAAGCCCCTACATAACCTCAAGTAATTTTTCTACATAAAATTTTATTAAAATTCGAGTTGTTAAAATATTATTAAAAATTCGAGCCTATTAAAATTTATTTTTTACATATTAAAATTGAGCCGATTTGAACTCTACCTGAGTTGTTAGTACCGATTAAAATTCTCTTTTGAGTTGATTAAAATTTATATTTTTTTACTTATTAAAATTCGTGTCAATTAAGATTCGATTTATTAAAATTTAACTCAATTAAAATTTAAATATTTTTATATATTAAAATTAAGACTGATTAAAATTCAATGCGAAATGATTAAAATATGATTTGAGTCGATTAAAAATAATTTTTAATTGGCTCAAACAAAATTTTAATTGGCCCAAATTTTAATACATAAAAAAATATAATTTTTAATTGGCAAAAATTTTAATATGTAAAAAAATTAATTTTAATTAATTTGAATCGAATTTAATTACGGAAAAAAAATTAAAAAATAAAAGGGGTCTCATTGAAATACATTTATCTAGAGGGGGTTTCATTGAAGAAATGTTTATCTAGAGGGGGTGTGGATGAAATTTGTTCTCAAATATATCATTGACAATTTAGTAAAATTGCATTCTACTTAATATTTTTAATCTGACAATGATGTTATTGAAGATTCAGAAATTATAAAGGGTATCCTTCAAGATATGATAAACTAGAAGAGGTGTGGTTGAAATTTTCCTAAAAAGTTAATGTCAACCTCGCAGTTTATTTAAAGCATTACATTCAACCATTTCATTATTTCTTTGATTCATTCATTGTCATAAACACTTTTGCATCATATTCTCGGAACCCATTGATCGCTTGCAACAATAATAAAAACAATAGGATCATTCTCTGATGATGAACAAAAATGAGTCATCGAGGAACTAAAACAAACAAATACTCTGAATTAAAAAACAATTGCAAGCACAATGTTTGCATTTGTAAATATGTCAAGTAACCAAATCATTACCTTCAGAACCAATACACAACCACTAATGTTGTGTTGATTATTTGTCTTATATTTTTTGCACCCTCTCAACCATGACATTAAATATCGACTTCGCCCAGTTCTTCCCCCCCCAAAAAAATGACATTCTTCACAAAATGGAGGAATAAGCTACTAATCGAGTTCTGCATTGTAGGCATAGTAGTCATCCAAGTACAAATACACACCAAATGTTATGTGAATACTCTTTAATTTCATCTAATTTATCGTTCAAATATTTAAATGGAATGTCCTTCATTCCAATGAACATGGAATTGCAAAGTCCATTTATTCTTTCAGAGGGGCCATCGATCTCTACAGCTATCTCTCTATATCTCTATGTATAACTCATTTACTACATGAGTAAAAAATTGATTGTATTTATTTTAGTCTAATCTAATTTAACCCGACCCATAACCAACCCAACCCACCCATTTGCCAACTCTACGTTAAATTAATGGTGTCAACCACTGGTACAGTTGACTCTAAAATGTATGGTAGTTACAACTGGAAGGCACGAAGGCACAAAACCTATATAATAGACAACTTGCCCACAAGTGGCCTCGGAAGAGCTCCTTTTTTCCAGGCTTACAGCCGAAAAAACCGTTGCAATGTTGTATCACGAGAGAGAGAGAAGAAATGTTGGGGTCTCAGGATCCCAAGCCAGCTTACAAACCATCGAGCACCTTCTGAACAGCAAGCTAGTGCCAAGCGTCCTGAATTTGAACAACCGAGTGGCAATAATCACAAACTATTTTAAAAGCACTTNACCTTCTGAACAGCAAGCTAGTGCCAAGCGTCCTGAATTTGAACAACCGAGTGGCAATAATCACAAACTATTTTAAAAGCACTTTGACCATGGCAACAAATTTAAATGATAGCCAAAATCCTCAAACCAGGTGAGGTCGGTGGTCATGCACTAACCCAAACCTGTAATATACATGCCATCGAAAATGCAGTATCAAGGACCAACGAATCAAAGATTCCAAACACATTTACAACTTTGGAATGTAAATTAGGCTCTACATATTCATGTGTGAACATTTTTATAGCACAGAAGCTAAACACACCCTTCATCTTTGGAGTCTGACAAGCTGGAAAAGATCTAGTTTACTCAAGTAAAGCTAGCTCTACACAGTTTGTTCATTTCCCATCTTTAGTCAAGTCAAGTACACTGGGGAGGAAGAGACTAATTAACCAGAGCCACTATGAGAAGATCCCTCTTGGTTGGCCAAGAAACGGACAACAACGGTAGTGATATTATCCGCACTGCCTCTCTGATATGCTTCCTGCATCAGCCTCTTTGCTGCCTTCTCTGGCTCTTCGATTTGTTTGATCATTGCGACCGCTTCCTAAGAAAAGGGTAAATATATAACAAAGTTTAAAAGTGGCAATCTGCCAGCGGACTTAAAATCTACAACCCATTCAAAGACTGGCAAACATTAAAAACCCAAAAACTAATCGTGAATTCCATTTTGCCCTCATGGTTTGCGACGTAGCATTTTACCTCCCTATGATTTGAAATTAGTCACATAACCCTCTTATGGTTTTGGAGCAATGTACAACTTCTATTACATCTGCCTAATTTTCCAAAAAATGTGACACAGAAGCCTAATTTGTGAGCTCCATGGACCAAACATGTTAACTGCCCAAAGTATGATTGCCAACGAGGACAGAACTGCCCTTACAACTTCTTTGAGAAGAAAAAAACGTACTCTATAACTTTATATTCTTCCTTTTAACATCGCCACTTCCCTCACCTCTCTGGTGAGGTTGGTGCAAGGTCATTTCAGTTCAGAGGCAAACTCGGTGGGACGCAGGGAGAGATAGTGAGACAATGAGGGTATTAAGGTTATTTTTACATCCTTTTGTAAAGGGAGCTTGTATTCCACATCAAAAAATTAAGGTCACCAAAGGTTAGTTTATATGCTTAATGGACCCCTCCACTCATTACCAATTGATTTTGAATTAGATGTTCTAACATAGAACTAGGCTAGACCTTGGATAGTGTTAAGAGATGTCTATGAGGGGTATTTATGTACTTTAAATCTTATTATTATAAATACTTGAGGCTAAGGAAGATAATCTAATTCTCTCATTAGCTCTCACTATAGTCATAAACATGTTCTTTTTCTCTCTACTTTCTTCTCCTCTCTTTCATAATTTAACTTGGTATCAGAGTTCGATTCGTATGTTAATTTTTTTTTCACCTTCTTGTTTTTCAATGATGTAAGTCTAATCTCTCTCTCACAATTTTTTCCCATTTTAAAAAATTAAAAAATACTAGCATGAATGACTAGGGTTCTTCTATTCTCATAAAAATTTTCAAATTTTTTAGAGTTCATTCAATGTATTTTTTCTTTTTCTTTTTCTTTTTTCCATTTTTCAAAAAAAAAAATTCCTCTTTTGTCCAAGTACTTGATTTTGGTTTGTTAGATGCAATCTAATGGCTGGAATAGTTCCCTTGGGGTCCAAAATCACCTTCTTTCTCTTACCCAATTATTGTTNGTTAGATGCAATCTAATGGCTGGAATAGTTCCCTTGGGGTCCAAAATCACCTTCTTTCTCTTACCCAATTATTGTTTTATCCATTTTAATGATTATTTAGCCAGATCTAAGGATTTTCTTGTTTTTTTTTGTTAAAATAACAACTTTTTGACCCTTTTATCCCTTTTTCTGATCTGATTTAGTCCCCTCTTTCAATTTTATTATGTGAATAACTTTTTCTTTGTACAANTTTTATCCATTTTAATGATTATTTAGCCAGATCTAAGGATTTTCTTGTTTTTTTTTTGTTAAAATAACAACTTTTTGACCCTTTTATCCCTTTTTCTGATCTGATTTAGTCCCCTCTTTCAGTTTTATTATGTGAATAACTTTTTCTTTGTACGAATTCCTTAGGCTTTATGAGTTTGTAGGTTTTGATATTTGGAGGAGCTCTTCTTGTTCAATGGACATGGGAAACAATAGAAAGACTTCCGGATGCAGTAAGATGAGTTGAGTCGTATTGGGACTTTTGGAGATAGCTTATCCCTTTAATTTAGTCCAGTTAAGTTGGATGGCACCAACTATCCAATTTGGTCACGATCTTGTAGATTAGCTATTACTGCACATGGCCTAATTGGTTATATCGTAGGAACTCTCTAGGATCTTACGACAGATGGACCAACACGGGAGCAATGGCAATCGGAGAATGCTCTTGTCATGACTTGGCTAATTAACTCAATGTAGCCATTTATTAGTTGCACCTTCTTATTGATGGACACGGCACAAAAAGATTTGGTCTACAGCTGCACAGACATACTAACAAAAGGGCAATGACGCACAAGTCTATGAACTAAGGAAAAAGATTCATGGGTTAGATCAGAAAGATAAATCAATTGCTAAGTATTATGCTAAATTGAATAGTTTGCGGCAAGAATTTGACTATTATCAAAGTTTTCAAGCTGTTTGTAATGCAGATGCAGCTACCTTTTCAACACATGATGGAAAGAAAGTAGATGTATGATTTCCTTGTTGGCCTTAACATAGAGTATGATCAGATTCAAGTTCAGGTCTTAGGTTGATCCCATTTTCCCATCTTGAGAGAGACCTATGTCTGTGTTCAGCAAGAGGAAAGTCGACGCAGTGCTATGGTAAGACTCCTAGTTAGGATCATTCTGCTTTACTTGCTACTCTTACTTCACGGGATGATAAAGCCAGTCAACCCAAGACTAGTGGAAAGAGTGGTGTTGGTGATCATGATATGTTGAAGTGTGATTACTATGAGAAAAAACATCATACTAGATAGCACTGTTGGAAGTTGCATGCTCTTCCTACTTGAGGCCGTGGAGCTGACCATGGCAGTATTGTGCAATCTCAATCTCACATTTCTAAGATTTCCTCAAGCCCTTCTATTGATACTAGTGCTCTCTCTCTGGATGAGATGTACACTCTCAGGCATCTGATAGTTAGACTTGACACTTTATCCACCATAGCTTCTCCCTTGGACCGACTTCCTCCAACTTTACTTACACAGGTAGTCCCAACACATGTTCTCAATGTCTCTTCTTCTCCTTAGATAATTGATTCTAAAGCTTTTGACCATATGAGAGTTTCTCTTATCAGTTTTGTTCTTACTTTCCTTGTGCTGGTAAGGATAAAATAAAATTTGTTAATGGCTCTTTATCCTCTATTTTTGAAAAAGGTTTTGTACAATGCTCTCCCTCTATTTCCTTTTCATATGTTCTTCATGTTTCAAATTTCTCCACTAATTTACTTTCCGTCAGTAGTCTTTACTAATTCCCTAAATTGCTCTATCACATTTTTCCTATTTATTATATGTTTCAAGAACTAACGACAGAGAAAACGATTAGCAATAGTAAAGCACATTGTGACTTGTATTTATTAGATATTGTCTCTTCATCATCATTGTCGTTTGGTCAGCCTATACAAGTGGATACTGCATCTTTTATTCCTCTCTTGCTTCAATGGCACCGCCATTTAGGACATCTCTCTTTTGGTGTTCTGGAGAAACTTTTTCTACTTTAACTAAATCATGTCTTACAAATAGTTTTGTTTTGAGATGCCTGCAAGTTTGCAAAGCATAAACACTCATGTTATTGTTCAATTAATAAAAGAAGTGAATTTTATCTTATGCTTATTCATTTTGATGTGTGAGGTCCCTCTCGGGTTATTTCTCGTTCTAGTTATTGTTGATTGTTTACATTCATTGATTATTATTCTCGTGTCAGTNTGTTCAATTAATAAAAGAAGTGAATTTTATCTTATGCTTATTCATTTTGATGTGTGGGGTCCCTCTCGGGTTATTTCTCGTTCTAGTTATTGTTGATTGTTTACTTTCATTGATTATTATTCTCGTGTCACTTAGGTATATTTACTTTGAACTAAGAGGTGACGTCTTTTCTTACTTTAAAGCTTTTCATAAGATGATGACTAACCGGTTTGATACCACTATTAAAACCCTTAAGAGTGATAATAGAATCTAAGTATGCCTTGAAGAGCATGGTATACTTTATCAAACGAGTTGTGTATGNTACTTTGAACTAAGAGGTGACGTCTTTTCTTACTTTAAAGCTTTTCATAAGATGATGACTAACCGGTTTGATACCACTATTAAAACCCTTAAGAGTGATAATAGAATCTAAGTATACCTTGAAGAGCATGGTATACTTTTTCAAACGAGTTGTGTAAGCACTCTTAAACAGAATGCGGTTGTTGAGGGCAAAAATCGTCATCTTATTGAAAATGCCCGTGCTATGTTCACTATGAATGTTTCCACNGCACTCTTAAACAGAATGCGGTTGTTGAGGGCAAAAATCGTCATCTTATTGAAAATGCCCGTGCTATGTTCACTATGAATGTTTCCACAACTTTTTAAGGGGATGATGTTCTTACTGCTGCATATCTTATTAATCACATACCCTCTAGTGTTCTTCAATTTAAGATTCCTCTTGAACTTCTTCTCAGGTCTCTCTCTTCTTTCTCTGTTTCTCCTAAGGTATTTGGGTGTGCTTGTTTTGTTCAGGTCTCTCCTCATTCTCAAGGAAAACTTGACCCTAAGGTTGTACGACATGTCTTTGTTGGATACTCTTCTACTCATAAGGGTTACTGATGTTATGATCCTCAGTCTTACAATGAGTATGTTAGCATAGATGATCACATTTCTTGAAACTGAACCATACTTTGGTTTGTCTCAGTCCTCTCTTCTGGGGAGGATGGGTAATGAGGATGAGAGATTACTATATGATCTACGGGAGGAGCTCTCAGTTTTTCTCCATTTGTTGAGAGAGACTATTTGTGGTGAAAGAGAGAAATACAAGTGTACTGAAGAAAAACATAATACTAATGGATGGTTGGATTGACCTTATCTTAAGACCTATTCTCGACATCCAACATAGCAAACCACCCATGTGCCACCAAGTCCATTGTCATCCCCAACTCCAGTTTCAAATTCTCCCGCAAAAGCTTCAAAAGATAAGTCTCATCTCCTGTTGTTAGAGAGATTATGATTCTTCTCTTCCTATTGCTCTTAAAAATGGTGTGAGATTTTGCACTCATTACCCCATTTCTAACTTTGTTTTTTATAACTCTTTGTCTTCTTCTTATCTTGCCTTTGTTTCGTCTCCGTCTTCTGTGTCTGTTACACAGGGTTAGAAGGAAGCACTTGCTGATCCTAAGTAGAAAGAAGCTATAGTAAAGTAAATGAAAGCTCTAAGCAAGAATGGGAATTAACTTTACTAGGAAGAGACTTATAGCCAGTAAATGGGTTTTTACTGTTAAATAAAAAGTAGATGGAGCAGTTGAAAAATATAAAGCAAGGCTAGTTGCCAAAGATTTTACTCAGACTTATGGCATTGATTACCAAGAGATCTTTGCCCCCGTTGCAAAGATAAATTCTATTCGCACCCTTCTTGTACTACTAATCTGGGTTGGCCCTTACAACAACTAGATGTGAAGANCCGTTGCAAAGATAAATTCTATTCGCACCCTTCTTGTACTACTAATCTGGGTTGGCCCTTACAACAACTAGATGTGAAGAATGTATTATTTCATGCAAACTTAGAGGAAGAGGTTTATACGGACATTTCACCAAAATTTTCTTCTTATTCTACAGTTGAAAATTTTGTAGCTAGAGGAAAGCACTTTATGGCTTGAAACAATCTCCTAGAACTTGGTTTAGGCGATTTCTCAAAGCAATGTTAAGGTTTGGATACAAACAAAGTAATGCATATCACACTATGTTTATAGTGTTATTCAACATAGTGGTGATAAGATTATTGTTCTTATTGTTTATGTGAATGATATAGTGGTTACGGTCAATAATATGAAGAAGATGTCTCACTTGCAATTAAGTCGGAAAAAGAGTTTTGAGATCAAAGATTTAGGTCCATTAAAGTACCTTTGAGGGATTAAGGTTACTAGATCCGATAAAGGCATCTATATATCTCAAAGGAAGTATGTTCTCGACCTACTGAGGAAGCTAGCATGCTGGAGTATAAACTTCAAGACAAACCAATTGACGCTAATCATAAGCTAGGGAGTGACATGGGTGACCATGTGGATAAAGAAAGGTACCCACAACTAGTAGGAAGATTGATATATCTAGCTCATACTCGACCAGATATTACTTATGCAGTGGAAGTTGTTAGCTTAGCTAGTTTATGCGTGACCCTCATACAGTGCATCTAGATGTTGCTTACAGAATTTTAAGGTATCTTAAATCCGCTCCAAGAAAATGCATGTTGTTCTCTAAGACCATCTCTAATGGCTTTAGTCCAATGGTACTCTTTGCCTTGTGAAGGCTTTGTCTTCTTGAAGTCAAAGGTTCAAATCCTCCTTTCCCCTCCCCTCCCCTCGCATCCCAAAAAAATAAAAATAAAAACAAAAAATAAAAAAAAATAAAAATAGAAACCCAAATGTAAAAAACTTGATTTGGTATAAGACGTTTCCAANGACCTACTGAGGAAGCTAGCATGCTGGAGTATAAACTTCAAGACAAACCAATTGACGCTAATCATAAGCTAGGGAGTGACATGGGTGACCATGTGGATAAAGAAAGGTACCCACAACTAGTAGGAAGATTGACATATCTAGCTCATACTCGACCAAATATTACTTATGCAGTGGAAGTTGTTAGCTTAGCTAGTTTATGTGTGACCCTCATACAGTGCATCTAGATGTTGCTTACAGAATTTTAAGGTATCTTAAATCCGCTCCAAGAAAATGCATGTTGTTCTCTAAGACCATCTCTAATGGCTTTAGTCCAATGGTACTCTTTGCCTTGTGAAGGCTTTGTCTTCTTGAAGTCAAAGGTTCAAATCCTCCTTTCCCCTCCCCTCCCCTCGCATCCCAAAAAAATAAAAATAAAAACAAAAAATAAAAAAAAATAAANCCTTCTTGAGGTCAAGGGTTCAAGTCCTCCTTTCCCCTCCCCTCCCCTCGCATCCCAAAAAAATAAAAATAAAAATAAAAAATAAAAATAAATAAAAATAGAAACCCAAATGTAAAAAACTTGATTTGGTATAAGACGTTTCCAATGGATAAATTTAATTTAAAGGAAGAGAAATCTAAATTTAAATGAGAAAAAACTCAAATTTAAATGAAGATAAAATATAACTGTTGGATCTTTAAAGGAGGGTGTAAGCTCACCATTAAAAATTTGAATATGAATTTGAGTCTCCCTTAATTTGAGTAAAAAAAGAAAAAAGTCTCCCTTTATTAGATATGGGTATGGGTCTAACATTGGAGAAAGTTTTTAGGAGTTTTTTACCCAAATTTAAATTTGGCTTTAAAAAAAGATAAGTATTGGAGATGTTCTAACCATGGTCACTTGAGGTTGGCATTTAGTGATGCTGATTAGGCAGGCTCAGCTGATGATAGGAGATCTACCCCTAGATACTCTACCTTTATAGGAGGGAATTCTGATACATGGCGTAGTAAATCAGTCTGCGGTGGCTAGATCCGCTGAAGCAGAATATAGAGCTATAGCTCATAGCGTTTGTTAGCTTATGTGGCTTCAGGGTTTGATGCAAGATCTAAGAATTTCTGTTGATGGGCCTATAAAGTTGTATTGTGACAATAAGGATGCTATTGATATTGCACATAATCCAATTCAGCACAACTGAACCAAACATATTGAAATTGACAAACATTTCATCAAAGAAAAACTAAATAAGGGAGTTATCTGTATGTCATTGGTTAAATCAGGAGATCAATTGGCAAATGTTTTTATTAAAGGACTTAGTAGTAATGTTTTTCATCTAATTGTTTGTAAGTTGAGCATTAGAGATATCTATACTCCAACTTAAGGGGGAGTGTTAAGTGATGTCTATGAGGGGTCTTTATGTACTTTGAGTCTTATTAATATAAATACATGAGGCTAAGGAAGAGAACCTAATTCCCTCATTAGNTAGAGATATCTATACTCCAACTTAAGGGAGAGTGTTAAGTGATGTCTATGAGGGGTCTTTATGTACTTGGAGTCTTATTAATATAAATACATGAGGCTAAGGAAGAGAACCTAATTCCCTCATTAGCTCTCACTATTGTCATAAACGTATTCTCTCTCTTTACTTTCTTTTCCTCTCTTTCATAATTTAACTAGCAGTCAATAGACCAATTCTCTTACCCATACTAATTTTCTGAATGCATGTGTGCCTGCATGTTTAATGGCCTCAAGTGTGAGCCCACCCCCACATGAGAGAGGGTGTAAATGGAGCTTGTATCCCACCTCTTAGCCAATTGGTTTTGGGTTGGACGCTCTAACAACCTTTAATGGCGTCAATTTTTGGGATGAATCAAAAATTACAAGAGGTTATGTAGCAATTTATTCAACAGAACCAGATCACTTACTCGATAAATAGTTAGCAGGAAAGACCAAAATTTAATCCAAATTGTCTATGAAGTCAAGTGAAAAGGAAATCTTGTTATACCAAGTCAACCCAAATTAATAAAGCCTTGTTTCAATCAGAAGGGTTGTACAAATTAAAATCAAGCAAACCTCATTTGTGACGACATCCCATAATCCATCACTTGCTAGGATAAGAAATTCAAGGGAGCTGTCAACCATTTCCTCCTGCAGGTTTCATAAAAATCGGGGCAATGAATAGGCTTCAAAAATTGAATACGAAATATTGAGGGTGCAGCCAAAAGGAAGATGAGGATGGCTCTCAAAAGGAACCCAAGCTTCCTTACTGCATTCTTTCTCCAAAAAGAACTAGCAATCAACTGCTAGAATGTAGTAAAAGCATTCATCCAAAATAATTGTTACATGCAATGCTATTCAAAAACAAAAGTCAATGCTATAGAAAACTCATCTTAAAATTTAAACTATAGAAAACTACACAATTCTATAATGCAAAGACGGATTAGTTACAAGTTAAAACTATTCTAAATATGTATGAGCTCAAAAGAAATTATTCTGAGTGAAAAATCGTGGATAACGAAATTTCAAAAAATAAAATTAGTAATAATGATCATAGTTATTAGTATNCGGATTAGTTACAAGTTAAAACTATTCTAAATATGTATGAGCTCAAAAGAAATTATTCTGAGTGAAAAATAGTGGATAACGAAATTTCAAAAAATAAAATTAGTAATAATGATCATAGTTATTAGTATCATACGATACACAATACGTATCGTACGATACATCGTGATACACCTGAAAACAATACGTATCGTGTCTCTGTATTGTTTTTGCACCGTATCGTACAATACACGATACGATACGTACAATATGTAAGATACGTGACAATTCTATTTTTTATTTTTATTTTTTTTGTTTTTTGGGGTTAAAATGACATCGTTTTACCCTATGACTTATTTTTAAATCTCTAACTAGTAAAACAACGTTATTTCAGTTGTTATGGTTTAAAAAATAAAATAAAATCTGTTGTTAATGTTGTTTAATTAAAATTAAAATTCCGNTATTGTTTTTGCACCGTATCGTACAATACACGATACGATACGTACAATATGTACGATACGTGACAATTCTATTTTTTATTTTTTATTTTTTTGTTTTTTGGGGTTAAAATGACATCGTTTTACCCTATGACTTATTTTTAAATCTCTAACTAGTAAAACAACGTTATTTCAGTTGTTATGGTTTAAAAAATAAAATAAAATCTGTTGTTAATGTTGTTTAATTAAAATTAAAATTCCGAATTAATATTAAGGTTGTTCAAACATTTAATGTTAAAAGTCTGAATTAAAGGTTTTTGCATTTTGATATTACTGAACTATGTTGAGAACTTGAATAGTTTGTGGAATATTAATGAAATGCTATGTTATTATGAGTCTGACTTTTTTACAAAGATATATATATAAATTTTATTAATAATTATTTAAAAATTAAAATTGTNTATGTTATTATGAGTCTGACTTTTTTACAAAGATATATATATAAATTTTATTAATAATTATTTAAAAATTAAAATTGTGTGTATCTTACAATACACGATACGATACACTATTTTTTAAAAATGATACGTCTTCCAATACGCGATTTGACAATTATGATGATGATGCATAAGTTATTTTTTTATGACAGATTTTGCTAATCATAGTAAGGTTCGACCAATTGTCACTGGCAGATTTGAGCTTTGAGGTTGACAGGTTGTAGAATAGTTCCAACATTGCAAAATTCACAACATAGAAGGTTGCATCCCTCCTTACAAAAGCTAAATCAAACCTGAATTTCTGGATCAGCAACAACATATTGCTTCAAAAGTCTATCCCCAAATGCACGAGAAACAGCAAGTACACCCCCAACTCTCCAAGTTCCTGTTGACAAATTTTAAGTTACCAAAAATGCCAGAAGCTGTCCAGATCACAAAATGCTACAGAATCAGAAGTGGATAAAGTTATGCCCGTAACCTGCCCACATTACAAAACCTCCGGCATCTTCAATACGTCGTCGTTCATCAGTTTGGTCTGGCTTGTGATCTCGAGAAACAGCAATGGCTGCAAGTAGTAAAAAAACATGCTTTTATCAGATTATGTATCAAAAACCAGTGAACATCATTGCAAGTAAATAATCCTTCAACAAAATATCCAATTTAGCAGCACAGACTCTATTCCATCCACTTTTGCTTTGTGTTTCTCAAGGAATACCAATAGTTACATACTCAACAAAAGCAACAAAAATATTTCAGGACCAGTAATCAAAAGCACAGCAGAATTCACTGTTGCAGGATTATACTCCAAGTCTCGTTTTTGTTTTGACTGAACAGGCATACACTTCAACTCGTCCCAATTTCCAAATGGAATACCATCATTTCAGGTGTTTATTGATAAGAAACCCAGATGGAGCTCTAAAACATGTTAAGATCAAGGTCGAAACAAAACATAGTGAGTCTAGAGCCTGTGACAAGACCAAAGAATGACTGGAAATCTGAATTTCTGGAGCAAATAACAAAATGACTGCTTCTCCCACCTGTTAAAGCCATAGTTACGATGTGACAAGACTCTAGTGTGGTCCTAAAAACATAAGAGACCATATGAATCTTGTTTAAGTGACTCATTGACTAATATATTATTTTGATTAGCTTAAATAATCACATGAATAGCACAAAACACTGATTGTAATAAAACATAACAGCCTGGTAATCAGACAAGTGGGACCCCTAAGCATTCGTAAGTACTTGGATGCTCCTGCATCACATGCCCAGTGCCATCTCACTCGCTGAATTTTTGGAACAGTGTATGTGAGAATAATACTTTGCCAAGGAATGTAGTCAGGTAACTAATTTGCCAAAAGTTGTGGTAGTTCCTGACATGCTACAAGTTAATCTCCATGCATAAGCTTAACATATAAGGAAAATTTTCAAGCTAACAAATGCTTGGGAAGCTAAAAATTTCTCCTCATCATCCTACCCTTCACAGGGGACCTTTAAAAGACAAAATTACAAGAACGTCCAAGAAACCAGAAACTATATTGTTGCCTCAGAACAGAAGGTTACCCTTCATCACATAAAAAATGCCGAATGGTATGATAAGCATAGGCCAGACCCTAAAATCACCATCCACGGGCTTAATATCAAAGATTCTACGCCCCCTAATCACCCAAATTCAAATCCTCAAATAGAAGAAAAGAAAGTGAAAATGCAATTAATAATGAGTTGTACAATCTAAGACAAGTGATTGCATGAATCATCAATGTTTTTAGCATTAATACAAGAAAATAGTAAATCTCTCTAAAAGGGTGGCCCCGTACACAAGGCTCCCGCCACTGTGGGAACTTACTGTTTGGTGGAATCAAGAAAAGTTTAGATATTTTCGTTTTAGAACAAGGTGCAATGTAGACAACCTTCCATACAAGCATGACAGACTAAGGCTGCACTAAAAAGAATCCAAATATTCTGAAGAAATTATAGGCATAGGACGATTGGCAGACAAGAACTATGACTGAAAGTACATAATCTTACATATCATTCAGATGTCAGACTCTTACCATTACCACCCCTGCAAATAACAGCTCTCGAATCCCCAACATTTGCAACCAGCAAGCGATCACCAACAAGGATAGCAGTAGAAGCAGTTGATCCAGCATCTCTGTTTTGAGTACTGTCTGATTTCAGAAATTCTGAGTCCGTGTGGCTGTATGCATCAGCTGCAGTGAGGAGCAATATAGAAAAAATCATGAAGTTAGATGATTGTGAGAGTGGTGAAACATCAGAGGAAGCAACCATATCAGTAAAAGAACAGACAAACCTATAGCCGATTTTGTATCAGAAATAAACTTTGGATGCTTAATCAGATTACTGAAAAGGTTTTGTTTAACATATTCTGCAGCTCGAGCACCACCATGACCTAAAACAGCAATAGAGCACATAAATACAGCAACATGAGAGATATATGGCGAAGTCAGCTTTCATGTGAAATTTCTCTGATTTCAGATTCTGTGTGGATCACGACAATGGGAAAACAAGGCTAAGTATGCGAATAAAGCCACTTATGTTTCTATATAAAACTCGAACAGTACATCAAATGATTCATATGTTCAGAATCAGATGAACACTGCAACATAAATATTACAAAAGAAATTGCAAAATTTTGAAGAAAATTAAAAAGAAGCATGTATTATAATATTCTCCAAGACATTGTCACACTCATCCACGAGTAATTAGACCAAATTTAACTATTTTATAGCACAAAGTGAAAAGAGTGTGTTTATGCGCACGCGCGTGTGTGCGCATATATATATATATAGAGAGAGAGAGAGAGAGGGGGGGGGGAAAAGAATAGCTTACCATCAAAGACACCAAAAAGACCAATTATCTCTCCATCAACACCATCAATTCTTGTCTCATAAAAATCCTCCATTGAAGACCTCTTCCCCGCAGAACTTGCATACCCATAGCTGAACTTTCCATTCTGACTGTTCCCAAGCGAAAAGTTACTCTTAAGACATAGATCCAATGAGTGCTTAACATAAAACAAGTTCTCACACCAATTGATATACAGTGTTCCTCTCGCTGACCTTATCAATTCATTTATTGCAAACTATGAACCGTGTATTCTACTCGATGTAGCCCATGCAAATAGTATCTCACATCATCAGATAGACAAATAAATAGATGAGAGAGGGTTGACTTAAAGTAACCCTCAAATATCTATTGTCTAAATGTAGTGACCAAAACACCACAAAAACAAGCAAACAAATAAATATAACTTCAACTGGGCTTTGAAAAGCCAATATTACCCAAACAATAAAAAAAACTCTCTCATATCACTTGGAGTGTCATTTCTAGTTTCTTTATCATCAACTGAAATTTATGAAAGAGGAGAAAAGAGCAATTGAAAGCTTTTCAATATATTTGTAAATTTTGTAGCTAATATCCACAAGTACAACATGTTGAGTACTACTCCTGGATCCTTGGAAAAAAATACTCACAAAATATGGACATAAAGATGAACTTTCTCTTAGTAGATTATAGCAAGTACAAATTTTTTTTAAAAATTTCAACACTCAAGTTATTCAAACTTGGCTTACATATAGTAGTAAACCTATAAGGAAAACTTCACGTAAAGGAGGATTATGCCAACTAAAGAAGGATTATGCCAAGTAAAGAAAGATTAGTTAGAATAGAGGTTTATAACGTATTTCCATATATGCGTATGATATCTACACCCATTCGTACATATGTATGTGGTATATAGCTCTTCTGATCTTATGAACCGTAAATGAGTAAGTCAAGAGAAGACTCAACGTCAACACGATAAACCTCCACTACATAACTAAAATCTTCTAACAATAGATTTAAATTTTATTAATGACTATATCCCATTTAGGGTTTAGTTAATTCAACACTACGGTTTTGGAAAGTTTTAATTTCCTATGTCAAAATTAAGTGTGTTAATCAAGTCAAGCTTCTCGAACTTATGTATGCTCAGATTCAGCCCAATTATAACTAACCAAGCTTGATCTCGAGCCAAGCTCGACTAACAATTCAAAATCTTACTCAAGCTTAGCTCAACAGCAACTTGTGAGCATTTGGTCCAAACTCAACCTAGAACTACAATTATTTAAAGGCTTCAAGCCAAGCTACATAGAGTTTGGATTCAGCTGATCTTCAAAATGAGTATAGAAATTTGATCAATTTTTTTTTCAATTTGAAAAAGGCTGAATGAGGTGAACCCCAAGCAAGCTCGAGCAACTCGGATTCTACAACAAGCCTAGACGGGGCCAAGGCCACACATGAAAACCATGAGGGCTCTCAAATGAAAGCAAGAGATACCATTTTTAACAAGCCAAAATAACCCAACCTTCTCACTATGTCGGATTTACAAAGTCAATACTATGAACAACAAAAATAGAGAAATAAGAATTTTCTTAACACGAAATGCTATTATCTCTGAAACACGACTTAAGATTATGACAAGGTTTCTCATGTCATGTCGATTGCATAACTAATATATTTCCCTTTTATTGGCATTCCCAATTGCAAGTCACGACAATTGTCAATTTTCAAAGTTGTTTTTCCCACATGGTTTGCATAAAAATTTAGTTCTCTTATAGGGGAATCAATGCAAGCCCATCATGATAATACGTGAGTTAAGCAAGAATTTCTTGCACGACATGACAAAGTATGACTTTTGTAGAGACTTGTCCCTTTTGCACATATCTCTGTTGTAGGGACCTTCATGCATGTGCAACACGACAAAATGCAACTTAAAGTAACTTATGCATGCTCAACCCCACAATATGTGATTTACATATGAAGTTCTATCACACCCATACACCATCACTAGTTTTGTTTCCCATAATCACATTGACATGCACAAAAATTCGAAATGTGAACTACATACAAAAGAAGTTCTATCAAACCCATACAACCCACACAACATTTAAAACATGAATTGCATAAGTATTTCCATAATTTTGGATTATATAACTAATTTGATTACTTCCTAATGACGTTGAAGCGTGACAACACCAACCAATGACTCCCATGCAAGTATTTCACATATTATCCAGATTGCTTAACCAATTAAACTTCCCACAAAAGTAACATTGACAAATAACGAATAATTTTTCACAGTGCAGATTACATAAATCATTCGATTATTTTAATCTCCTCACAAAGATATTGATGCACAATCAACACGATTAATTTTGGTTTAAACGCAGCTTCTTTTATGATAAAGATTGTGCAACACTCATAAATTGAATGCACTCGGTAATTACATTAATTAGAGCAAAAGCTGATGTAAAATTGACTGGGAAAGGGAATTGAGGTGACACATATTACAGTACTTCGATACTTTAAAAAGGAGTCTTTTAATGCTACCCACTCAAGATTTCTTCTTCTCTTGTTTAGTTTATTGCATAAATATAAGACCTTCATTCATTTTCCAAATCAGAATAATCAACCAGATACATTAGCTTCAAAGAAAAACCCTACAAGATCTTAGTTCCCAAAATTTAATAACTCAAAACCCACATAGCATCATTCATTATAATGACTACAAACTAACAAGATCATCAATCATCAGTACATACAAAGCAACAAAGTTTACCCAATACACATGCCCTTTAAGAATATCTACCACATGGATGTATATGTAACAACCAACACAAATACGAAATACAATAACTTCGAGATCTGCAACAGTAGAAAACAGAGTTAGAGATAGATAGTGATATATATATATATATAGAGAGAGAGAGAGAGAGAGAGATAAATATACCTAAGTCCACCACCGCTAACTGGCCCATCACCACCATGAACTTGGCTGGTGGATGATAATACCGAATTCAGATACCCCATAACTATTATTACTTGACTTGATCAAATGCTAATCCTTCTTCAATATGTATTTGTGTATGCGAATTGTTGATAATAAAAATTCTGATAACGACTATTGTTACAATATTTAGCCAGCTTCATTTCCAATTACGGAATATCAAATCCAACCTGTAAAAACACATTATTCAAATTCACACAACATTCAAATTCATTTTCGTAGAATAAATCACTTCAGTCAAAATAGACCGGATATTTAAATTCAATAGAACCATTCACACCAATTGATTCAGGCGACACATATGATTAGCATACATATGAATAGATATGCGTATATATAAACATACATATCGACAGAGGGAAAAAAGTACCCAAAAAGATGAAATGCCATGAAAACGGAGAAGGAAGCTTTAAGGGAAATAAACAGAGAAGACGACGACAAGAATGTTAGGGAGAGAGAGAGAGAGAGCGCGATTTTTATAGAGAGACAGGCAAGGAGGAAGGCAACGCCATGAGAGAAGCTTCTGTTTTGTTTTGGTTTGGTTCGAGTTTTGGTTGCAAGCGGACAAAGTGGAAATAAAATAGGGCAAATTTTTTTTTTTTTTGTCCTTTGCTGGGTAAAAAGAGTTGCGATGAGGGTACAGGCGTGAAAACCATGCTCGGTGTAACCATAGAGAGGGACATTGGCGGCAGAAATTTTTAGATGAGTTATACACACCACGTGGCTGGCTGACGTGGTGTGCACACCCAATCACAATTTACCAAGTGGACAGGCCGTCGGACACAAAACAACTCAGTATTTCCATTAACTCCCGTTAACCCATTGTTATCAAGTACAACTCCCAATAAATTGTTGCAGACAATTTCAGCTGTCATGGAGCAGAGTAAAAATTCAAAATTCACAATATCCCATTGACGTTTTTAGTTCAACCCGCAAACCCATCTTTCCCTCCTTTCATTGTCCATCACTTCTTCTTTCCCCCAAATTTTCTTTGCCCTAACTTCATTTAGGCGACCAGCAGCCACCACCACCACTGACAACGCCACCACCCCTAACCTCCTTTAGGCGCACCTCCAGCGACCACCACCACCGAAAGAAGAGGAACAACTCATCACCACCAGCGAGGACCACCACCCAGCGACCACCATCTGCTGCTCGTCCATCTGTGACAGTAGGTAAGTGTGCTCCCTTGCTATTTTATATGTTGTAATTTGTTGTTGTTATCTGTTAATCAGTTAAATTGATTTGTTGTAATTTGTTGTAATTGATCAGCTCCCTAATCAGTTAAATTGATTTGTTGTGGTCCTTTGGTAGTAACGAGAATGCTCTTGAGGCATTTTGAAGAATTAAAGTCATTAAGTGTAATTGTGGTTTTCTGTTCATTGTTGGTTTATTGTGAAATGTTGTTGCCTCTTGTAATTTTTGGCTTCAATTTATAAAATTTTTCTTCTGGTAAAAAAAAAAAAAAAAATTTACACTATCCTTCACTACAGGTGTTTGTTGACTAAGTTATCTGTGGAACAAGCTACTCCACATCTATAAAGATGCAAATACACCAACAGAGACATTAGTTCGAGAGGAAAGTATTTCGATTTAGATTTTCTTTTTTATGATTTTGAATCGGATGTGGTTAGAATTCAAAAGAAGTAGTGAGATGCAATTATCAGTTCTAGGAATGAAAGATACCTACCTTTATAATGAAAAAACGAATGACTTGTTCAAAAAAAAAAAAAACAGAGACATGACAGGAAAAAAGAGTGCTAACCAATATACCAGATCAGCGCCCCCAAAAAAAAACTAATACCAGATCAATGTAATCTTAGCTCATGAAATCGAAGTATCCAACAACTCTTTTAGATTAAACCAAAAAAAAAAAAAAAAACAACACTTTCAGAAAAAAAAAAATTTACTCTTGACAACGAAATTCTCCAACTCATTTTGTAGGAAAAAAAAAAAGTTCTCTTCGTCCACACCATTAAAGCTTTGAAGGTGTTCCAACTCAAAATTTCGGCAACCATGGATATACTTTCTTTTTGGAACTGGTACCATGAGTTATGGTGAAACTATAAAAACATAGAATAAAACACAACCACATATAGATCTAGGCATGAACTAGAGAGCTCCAACAGAAAGAAAGAAAGAAAGAAAAAATATTTAATGGACAAGAGCTGTAAAAATGGTGTACCGGCAGAGAAGAGAGAAACCAAAAAAAAAAAATGCTGAAATATTTTATTATGTTTGCTCACTTGTTTTATAGTGGTAATCCAAAATTTCAAAAATTAGGTCGGGTGATTGAAAATTTGAATCTTCTGTTGAGAAGAGAGAAAAAAGTGACAAAAGAGAGAGATAACGGCAGAAAAATTCCGTCTAAAAATTTGTTTAAATGGTTGACTTGAAAAGTTTTTGACAGTAACTGACACATTATTGAAGTGGCAATTTTTCATTGGAGTTGAGTACCAGCTGTGGCTGTGTGTGCCAGCTTGGTACCTTACAAGCACAGAATATTTTCTCCATACACCCCAGCATTTCAACAAAACCAGTACAGCAGCATAGCACAGCTGCTGCTGCATAGCAGAAACTGCTTCCAAACCAACACAGAAAAACAACAAATCTGATTGGCACACTACCAGTTTGAACCCATAACCGCTTTTGAACTTTAACCACATCTAGGCCAAAATCAGAAGAAAGAAAATAAAAATCAAACTACTTCCATCTCAAACTAATGTCCCCGTTGGTGCATTTGTATCTCTATAGATGTGGAGTAGCTTGCTGCACAGTTAACTTACTCAACAAGCACCTGCAGTGAATGATATTGTAATTTTTTATTTTTTTTAAAAAAAAAAAATTAATAGATTGAAGCCAAAAATTACAAGAAACAACAGCATTTCACAAAAAACTAACAATGAAAAGAAAACCACAATTACACTTAATGACTTTAATCCTTCAAAGATGCCTTAAGAGCATTACTGTTACTGCCAAAGGACCCCACTCCCTTCTGCCCAGAACTTTAGCAAATGACTTAACCATATTCACACACCACCAGCAAAGGACTTAATCATATTCCAAACCGTAACATTGGAAGTATTTGCTGATCTTCCTTCAGCAACCTAGTAACGCTCCTAGGCATTCCAGTCTGAGTAAAATCAAAGGAAAATCGAGCCATCACAGCCTGATTCGCTAACCCATCAGCAACAGAATTGGCTTCATGAAAGACATGACGGATTCTAAAATTCATCTATCCAAGTATCTCTCTTATCTGATGCAAAATGGCCAGATACTTCCAAGCACACTCCACTTGTTCAAGCACAGTGTTAACGAGAACCATGGAATCAGACTCCACCCAGATTTCATACTCCAGCAGGCTATACTGAACCACCATTTTCAATCCATCCAACAAAGCACAGAACTCAGCAGAGTGAAATAGAGATGGAGAAAATGGTTTGAGAGAAAGAGAGATTTAAAAGTTTTGAGCGTAATGGTACTGTAACACTGCTACAAATTTGACACCCTGGCTCAGCATGTTTCTTAGAGTTCGAAGCCGGTGACGGACGTTTCTAACGGGTGGAGAAAAAATTGTTAAAATGCTTATGTGTAACATATCTGACAACTGCTGATGTGTCCATTTTTTATTGGTTATACAAACCACATGGGCCAGCCACGTGGTGTGTATAACTCATCTAAAAATTTCTCCCTTGGCGATGGGTTTCGTAGGCATTCCTCGAGGACAATTAGTCCTTGTTTTGATGAATTTTGAGAGGGGGTTTAAATTGATTTCTTCAAATTTTTTTAAATTTAAATTATTTTTATAAAAATGAGATTAAATATTTAATTTGTTTCATATTTATGTTTGGTATATAACACATATATATATAAAACTCATAAATATTTTATAATTACTAACAACTATTTGTCATGTAAATGATTATTTTATCTTGATCAATTCAATTCATACTCATGTTAAGGGATACAATAATCTTTTAAATCTTTAAACCCTTATCCATTTTTTCAAACTCACCCCCTCTCTAAGTTTAACAAAACTCGTGATCATTAGTTTTGAAACTTTGGGGTGAATTTTTCATACAAAAATAAAATTTGGAAGAGTTTTGAACTATTTTCTCTAAAATCATCTTACTAAGCCCCTCGTACCCTTTTACCAAATAGTCTTTTAGAGCAGTAATTTGATCTCAACTCCACCAAATTGTTAGAAAAAAGTCAACAGTTTATCTCCCACAAATTAAACTTGAGTACATTATAATATACATGTTTACGAGATGTTATCTCGTAACTAGACTAAATTATACTTTCACTTTCGAGTATATACCTATTTTACATTATTTATTTAATTGTCATGTTTCTCGTGTTAACATCTTCGCTTTATAGTTAATGTTTTTACGTTGTCCTATTCCACATGTTGAAAGTGTATATTTTACANATGGGTTTCGTAGGCATTCCTCGAGGACAATTAGTCCTTGTTTTGATGAATGTTGAGAGGGGATTTAAATTGATTTCTTCAAATTTTTTTAAATTTAAATTATTTTTGTAAAAATGAGATTAAATATTTAATTTGTTTTATATTTATGTTTGGTATATAACACACACACACGCACACACATATATATATATAACTCACAAATATTTTATAATTACTAACAACTATTTGTCCTGTAAATGATTATTTTATCTTGATTAATTCAATTCATACTCATGTTAAGGGATATAATAATTTTTTAAATCTTTAAACCCTTACTCATCTTTCCAAGTCTACCCCCTCTCTAAGTTTGACAAAATTTATGATCATTAGTTTTGAAACTTGGGGGTGAATTTTTCGTACAAACATAAAATTTAGAGGAGTTTTGAACTATTTTTTCTAAAATCATCTTACTAAGCCCCTCGTACCCTTTTACCAAACAATCTCTTAGAGCGGTAATTTGATTTCAACTCTACCAAATTGTTAGAAAAAAGTCAACAGTTTATCTCTCACAAATTAAACTTGAGTACATTATAATATACATGTTTACGAGATGTTATCTCGTAACTAGACTAAATTATACTTTCACCTTCAAGTATATACCTATTTTACATTATTTATTTAATTGTCATGTTTCTCGTGTTAACATCTTCGCTTATAGTTAATGTTTTTACGTTGTCCTATTCCACATGTTGAAAGTGTATATTTTACAACACAAAAGAATATTTTTTGTTCAAAATATAGCAGACTTTTGGTTATGAGATAGTGCGAAACTAATTTTAATAGTTGAAGGGATAATGTGAAAAATTCAATCTATAATATAAAATGGGGACAAATTTTAATAAGTTTATTCGACAATTTCAAATAAACTCATCCAACGGTCATCAACATTCCTTTTAAAATCATTCACATTAAATTTTACTTTCATTTCCTCACTCTNAGTAGATTTTATTAAGTTCATTTGACGATTTTAAATAAAGTCATCCAACGATCATCAACATCCCTTTCAAAATCATTCACATTAAATTTTACTTTCATTTCCTCACTCTTCACTCTCTCTATCTGNGACAAATTTTAATAAGTTTATTCGACAATTTCAAATAAACTCATCCAACGGTCATCAACATTCCTTTTAAAATCATTCACATTAAATTTTACTTTCATTTCCTCACTCTTCACTCTCTCTATCTGGGATCTTCACTCATCATTTATCCAAATTAATTGACTGGTTTACGTTACATCGTACTTTTGGGCACGAGTTATTCATAGTAAAAAAATAAAATAAGGTTAAAATTATAGCTGAAGAGATTAAAATGTAGCATTAGTGGTTATTATTTTATTTTTTTTGGTCATGGTTAAAATGTAGTTAGCCCACTAAAATAATTGCTAATTACTTACCCGTAAAAAATAATTTATATCTATAATAACAGAGCAAACTTCAATAAGTTCATTTGACGATCTTAAATAGACTTATCCAACAACCACTAACATCACTTTCAAAACTATTCACATTGAACTGTACTTTCAAGCACGATTTACTCCTGATTATAAATAAAGTATGATGACAACATGGGATTCCAACTTCTTAATCCTAAATTTTGTTACTTTCGATCAAATGTAATCAACACGCGTTAAATTTAACCTTACTTTATTCACTAAAATAGAACGCATACAATGATACAATCTAGCAACCTAATTCCTGTTATGTTTAGGTTGTG